CCAGTATCACGCTCTGTGCTCCTGTATCTATAATAGCCGTCTTAGCCTTCTCCCCTTCCACTGACAGTGCACCGCCTTGGATCAGCAGCACGGAAGTCTGGCAAGCCAATCTCTCCTGTGGGTGCCGTGCCGCTGTGCATCTTTCATCCTTTTCCTCCGGCTTCTGTCCTCTCTCCCTCTCCTTTCTCGGCTGCTCCTTCCGTGCATCCTTTCCTCCGCTGCGCAACCCCATCTCCTCTCTCCCTCGCCATGCCATGTACGCTGGCTGCCCCTCATGCTCCACCTCATTCTCTCCTTTTCCCGCCCAAACCATAAACGCGGCTTCCTCATCCTGCTCCACATCTTCTTCTTCTTCTTCTTCTTCCTTGGCGTACATCCCTGCCTCAGCTTCCCGTCGTAGCCCCATTGCCTGCATCTGGGCTTGCAACATACTGATCTGCTTCTCCAGATCTTCTGGTGACTTCTTCGCCGCTCCCTCTCGCTGGTAGCACTCCTTTGCCACATGCCCTCCTTTCCCACAGACTTCACACTTTGGTGTCGTTGGACATTCCCGCCGCCGATGCCCTGGCTTGCCACAGGAGTCACAGTTCTTGCAGTCTCTGCACAAGTGTCCTGGCTGCCCGCATCTGTGGCACGTCCGTGTGTCAGGCCTGGTCTCCCCTCTTCCCGCTGCCCTGTCCTTTTCTTCCAGTATCATGGCAGCAGCCCATGTAGGTCCCCTGCCTCGCTCCGCCTGCCTGGGCCTGTATGCCTCATATTTCCTCTGCGCCAGCTCCATCTTCTCTGCGAGTTCAAACACCTCCTCAAGCGTTGTGTCGGCCCCCATCTCATACACTTTCATCCACAGTCCACTTCCCAGAGTGCCCTCCAGTCCATCCAGGAATTTACTCACGAGCAGGGCCATATCTGCGTAGGCCACATCCTCTGCCAGATTGACCAGCCGGTTATAGTAGGTGAGTAGTGACTCGCCCCGCCCCTTCCTGAAATCCTGAAACTTCCTGATCTTCTCTGCAGTGTGGCCTGGAAACTGCCGCTTCAGCCGCCTCAGGAACGCTTCAGTAGGGTCTTCCCCGTACCTTCCTGCCCTGTCCAGTAGCTCATCCATCCTCATCCTGTATAATGTCTCCGCCTCCCCTTCCAATGTGTTTGGCAGACTCAGGAAAAAGTCTACCGAGTCCATGCCGCTCCGTTCGCATCGGTATCGCACGTTGCCCACCTGCATCAGGTAGTTCTTCAGCGTGGGGCCCGTACGCTGATCTCCAGAGAAGCGTGCGGGCACTTCCACCCTCGTGGCCATTGCCGTGCTCCCCTTGCCTTCTCCCCATGCCTCGCTTGGCCCTCCTGCTGATCTCTCTGCTGCTCCTCTCTCTCTCGCCCGCAGTATTCCTTCCCTTGCCTCTCTGGCCCACTCCAGGCCGTGCATCAGCCCGCTGCCTCCCTCTCTGCTGTGGCATTGATCCCCTCCTCCCTCACTGCCACGTCTTTCGTCATGCTGCCAGTACCGATCAGGTGAGCGATATCCACCGCCGCGCCCCTCATCCCTGCTCTGTTGCCGAAGCTGCGAGTCGTATCCACCTCCCCGGCTTTCTCCATGTTGCCTGTGCCAGTCGGGCGAGCGCGTATCGCTTCCCCACCTCTCTCCATGATATCGCTGCAGGTCAGGCGACCGATAGCCGCCTCAGCGTCTCTCATCACGAGGGTAACGAGGACCTGGAGAGCGCAGCTCCCCTCTGCTTCTCCAGTTGTGATACCTCCGCGAATCCGACGAGCGTACACTTCCCCCGCGTCCACTGTCCTGGTGCTGCCGTGGCTCCGGCGAGCGGCATCCACCTCTGCGCCTGTCTTCATGCAGCTGCTGCCGCAATGGCGAGCGGTAGCCGCTTCCGTGCCTCCCGTCCTCATGCGGGAGACGTGAATCTGGTGAGCGTGCGCGGCCACCTCGCTCCCCGTCACGATTCTGCCGCCGATCTGGCGAGCGCATACCGCCGCCACGCCCCATTTCCCGATACATCCGCGGATCTGACGAACGCATGCCTCTGTCGCGTCCCCCATCACGATTCAGTCGAGGCTCTGGTGAGCGCGCACCGCCGCCGCGTCCTCCGTCCTGATTCAGGCGCGGATCGGGCGAACGCGCGCCGCCGCCACGTCCCTCGTCACGCTGCAGACGCGGATCTGGAGAGCGTGCGCCACTGCCACGCCCCCCGCCGTCACCCTTCTCTCCGTCGCGTGGCAGGTCTCGAGTACCGCCTTTTTCGTCCGCCTCCGCCGTGCTCGGCTCCGCCGCCACGCCCGCCTGCGCGGGATCGTCGTCATTAACTCCAGCGGGCATCTCGCGCTGCTCGCCTGCGCCTTCCTCCTGAGATTCGTCATCGCCTTCACGATCCGTCTCCCGCACTCGATTCGCCGAGTCGGCCTCGTCTTCTCCATCCACATCAAGATCGCCTTGGCGACCCGAGAAGAGCTCCTCCAGACCTCGCCCGCGACCTCTCTCTTCGCGACGGCGGTAGCCTTCCTCCGGCGAGCGTTATGCTCCCGTGTCCTGGCGGTACCCATGACCGCCGTCAGCTCCGTGACGCCCGTCCGTCCGCCATGGGTCACTCCCCATCGTGACAGATCCAGATCCGCCTCTTCCTTCTCGGGCGGATCCTCCCTCCTGGCGATCTGGCGCGAGAGGGACCTGATCCGCACGAAAGGCCGGCCTCCGCGGCGATCGCTCAGGCCGCCGCGGCGACCTCTCCAGCGAGCGTCCGCGCTCACGTGAGCGTTCGCGCCGCGAGCGATCCTCCTCACGGCGACCATAATTCCTGCCGTAACGCAGCTCGTACACATCCATGCTTGTACGCGCACCTTTCTGTTTGTTATGAAAGAAACGAGACTCTCACCTCAAGGGGTCCTCCCTGAGTGGTGTGTCACCCGTAAGCAAGGCTTGAAGCAACAACAATCCACTATACGAAAGGATAACAAACAGAAAGCATTGTGTGCGTGTCTGAGAGTGAACTTACCTGACCCTGGCTCGAACCGTGCATTTCTCAATGTGCGGCTCGAGCCTGGGTTGGTTCGTTCCCATTGGTTGCATGGATTTCACCCCTTGGTGCTCTCCTACCAACTTCGCGTCAATTTCCCAGCCCCCACCTACCCATCCTCGAATCTGCAAGTTCAACATAGCTACACCAACACAACACCTCCTTATTACTGGCACCTTATATGCACAATCGTGCATATTCGGTGACACCCCTCATTTTCCCGCCTTCTCCCTCTCGTTTCAACTCCTGCTCACTCTCATTTCCCGCCCTTCTCGCCTTCAATTCACCCCCTTCTCCCTCTCATTATCCTCCCTTATTCCCCTCGTGTTGCTCCTCGTCCTCCCTCTCATCACCCCCCCTTCTCCCCCCCATTTCCTCCCCCTTCTCCCCCTCATTTTCCCACTTCTTTCACTCATTTTACCCCTTATCCCCCTCCTCTATCCACCCTTCTCCCCATCATTATCCCCCCTTCTCCTCTTCCTTTTGCCCCTTCTCCCTCTCATTACCCCCTCTTATCCCCCTCATTTCCCCTCTTCTCCCCCTCATTCCCCCATCTTCTTCATCCCATTTCCCTCCCTTCTCCATCTCATTTACCCCATTGCTCCATTTGATCTCCCCCTCCCCGCCTCGATCTCACTTCCCACCGTGCTCCCCCTCATTTCCACCCTTGCCGCCTCTCACTTCCACCATTGCTCACTCTCATTTCCCCCCTTGCTCCATCTCATTTTCCCCCTGCCCCCCCTTGCTCCCCCATTTCTACCTCTCAGTTCTCCCCCTGCTCTTACAGACTTAACCCCCCTAGCCCTATCAGCTCCCCCATTGCTCACCCTCATTCCTGCCCTTCTCCCTGTCATTTGTTCTCATGTTTAGTGAACCTGCCCGTGAGCATCCCATCCCCACCTCCCTACCCCTGCTCTTCGCTTTCTTCCTCAGCCACATCGCCGCCATCCCCTATGCTCTCCGTTTCCTGTTGAACATCCCTTGTTATCCCAATTATGTTCCCCGTACAGCTTGCCAAGACGAGCACACCACGACCTACCATGGAAGCTTAGGGTTCCTACACAAGGTGAGACCGTCAGAATCTAGAGACAGGAATGAGAATGACTAGATCAGGGTTTGGTACAAATATGAAACCCTAATGGGGTTGTACCCCATATTGGCTACCCTACTACAGCCTAAACATTTATAACAAACATATAATTTGACACACCCCCATAGGCAAAGTGGGGGAGAGCAAGGGGTCACAAGCCTAGTTAAGAAAAGCAAGGCAAGCTCAGGGTGGATCACAACGTCACCACACACACCGAGCACAAGCAAAGGGCCACAAGGCCAATTCACATGCAGAGGTATATATGCAACAAGAACAGCACAGTGATCACTACATAGCAAGAGCAAGCATGCAGGTATATATATACATATATATATATATATATATATATATATATATATATATATATATATATATATATATATATATATATATATATATATATATATATATATATATATATATATCACCATCTCCAGATTCCCAGGTCCCAAAAGCGTCCCGAAAGTATCCCGCAAGAGACTTTCGGGACACTTTGTACCCCTATCCCGAAAGTGTCCTTCGGGAAGTCTGTAGTGATGGTTCAAAAAGTCCTGATTATGTCCCGCAGGACTCTTTTGAACTGACTCGAAGGTCTTTTTCGGGGCTGACGTGGACACTTGGGGGACACATTTGGGACGAGTCACGAGCCAATCACCTTCGAGCGCGGTTCGGGTATATGCGGTTCGGAATTCGTGGAATTGAACATGAAGTTTGACAGGTGCTGTTTTACTTGGCGCCCACAGTGCAACATTAAAACTAGACATTTGTTTACAAAACATGTACAATAGAACTACAAACAAATGAAACTACATCAGCAATAATAAAAAGGCACGTTTATTAACTTCTTCAGGGTGGCACATTCAGAATAAGCAAAGAACATCCTGCAATTAACACTGATAAAAATAAGCCACAGAAATGTGAAAAGTGACAATAATGCCCTCCATTGTTTAGCACAAACGGCAGAGCATTTACAAACCGGGCTGCTGGTTACGCCATTACAACCTGCTGGTACCGCATTTATATCCTGCATCTTAAAAACAATTGACATACATTTCAATCGCTTAGCTGCAGCTGCACACATCAACAGAAACTAAAACATTAGAGATTTCATCGCAATCAACGTTAGCTCCCCTACCAATGACAAATAACAAAAAAAAAGGACTACAAATTGACATACCATGATTTCCATCCTTGCTTAAGTCTGACTGTCCCATCACACTCCCTCGCCTCACCGTCGCCTGCGACGAAACCAGCGACAATCGCGCTGCTTCCATCGCCAGTGGCGCCGCGTTTGCCTGCAGGCAGCATCAACCGCCCGCGGTACGCATTTGAAACACCAACCCCAGTCGCGGCATGCAGCTTCGCGAAGTTGAGCTCGCAGAGTGGGGTGAAGGGGGAAACGACCTTTTGCCTGCGCGGGGCAATGGGGGGAACAGAGGAACGGGAAGCGGGATAATATAAATTACTATCTGGTTATGCAAGTGTATGAGTAGTCAGAGGCAAATACAAGACTACTAGTAGGAACCGAAAACGTCTGAAGTGAGCTACCAGGAACCCAGACATAAAGAACGTACATGTCTAAGAAGGAGAGAAGGTACTACCGAAAGAGTCGATTGATGAGGTGGTTGGGTTGACTAGTTGTGGTTGTGTGGTGTGCACATTCTAGCTCTAGCAACAAGATCGTGAGGACGTGTGCGTTTTTCGGGCCAGCTGGCAGGTGTGCATGACAGGTGGCGCGAAGTTGTTGTGCCTTTCAGATGACGCTGAGTTGGCGCTAATCTGTGGGGCACAATATTTTCGCCATCACTTCGATCGATTGTTCTGTGGGAAGGGGGGAGGGGGGGAGAAAGCGGGGGAGGGGGGGTTGGGGCGTTTGACTTACGAAATTGGTGAGATTTCGTAGCAGTTACATGTGTTTCGTAGGGCGCGCGCTATAAACAGACTCAGAAATATGCCATTGACGTTTGAAACCCTCAAATGTAGACTAAATCGTTGCATTTGATTCGGATATACTTAAACCAGTAATACTAAAATACCCTCTGTCGATGTTGAAATATAAAAAACCCCTTTCCAATTAATCTAAATTCATCATATCCATTGACTAAATGTAAGAATTCAATCATGGACAAAAATAAAATATATCACTATTACAATGCACCGTCCCCAAGAATCGAACTCGTGAGCTTTCGGACCGTCAAGATTTGAGTCCACTGGGTCACTCCCACACAACACCCTATGGGAATGACACTTTCGGGACATTTTGGGCAGGGCAGCCCGAGCGGAGCAGGGGGCGTGCGTCACTGGTGAGGACAGATTTGGGACGAATCACCTTTGGGACACTGAACACACCGTCCCAAAAATTCCTTTCGGGACACAGGACATTTCTGGGACAGATTCGGGAAGCCTCGAAGTTGCTTGCGGGGAGGTCATATTGGGGGGAGAGGTTCGGGACGTCAACATCTTGGTGATGACAGTACAAGCAAAACCTACAGTAAGTGTGGAAACGTAGGCACAAGGCCCAACAAAGTACAAAAGCACTGATGATCACCAGACGGAAGTGCCTTGGTGAATATATCAGCAGTGTTGGCCCGAGTGGCCACGTAAGCAAGATGAAGCTGACCACGCTGCTGCAACTCTCGAGCTAGGAAGTAACGCAGAGCGATGTGCTTCGTTTTGTGCTCCAGTCTGTGCTCCTGACACAAGGCAATGGCGGCCTTGTTGTCGACGTACAGAACTAGAGGAGAACGAGGCCTCTCTCCCAAATCAGTCAGCATGTAGGTGAGCCAGCGTAACTCCTGTGCAGCCATGGCTGTGGCATAGATCTCAGCCTCACAACTGGAGCCGAGAACTGACGAAGAGCGAGTAGACCGCCAAGAAACAGAGCCAGAGCCAAGGCTGAAGGTGTAACCCTGCGACGACCGCTGAGTAGCCAGGTCGTCAACCCAAGAAGCGTCTGAGTGCCCAGTGAGGACAACTGGACTCCGCCCTCCAAGCACGAGCCCCATGCCTGATGTACTGCACAAGTAGCGCAGTACCCTCTTTGCAGCATCCATGTGCACCTTTCGGTGCCGACCAGGAGCCACGTAGCGAGCCAGAAGGCCAAGAGGGTACGCAAGGTCAGGACGAGTGCAGGTCATCAGGTACATGAGGCAGCCGCTCTGGGTAAGGACCACTCGCCTCTGGGTAAACATATAATTTGACAGAGACAGCGTCATACTTCCCTTCCCTGCCATGCCATCCCGCCAACACTACCCTTCCCCAACTGCCATGTTGTTCCCTACTGCCCTTCCCCTCCTTGCTATTCCCTTCCCTCACTTCCCATTTCTCCCTGTACCTTAGTTCACCCACTGCACTCCCGTCTTCCTCATCTTCCCTCTCTTCCAGGGTGCGACCCCTTTTCCAATAATAAATGAAGTCAGCACAATGTGATTAGCCCCCACAGCCATCATTGCCATGCGTCTATCTACTCCACCCCGCTTATCTCCATCCCTCCACATCTCAATGTCATGTCACCTCCCATGCCATCACATCTATCTGTTATTCTTGGAGTCCTCCGTGCCCTTCCATCCCATCACCCTCCCTTCCCGCCCTTTTTTTTTCCTCGAGCCCTCTTTGACATGGTCGACGCCACCGCGCATAATTACAGGTCCGCCATGATGAGATCTCTGCTCTCCTATTCGTATCGCCTGTTCCATCTCCGCCGCACCGATGCGCTACCCTGCTTCCCACCTTCATTCCCTCCACTGTCCAAATAGCACAACTTGTAAAGGGAAGGGCTCTTCATGGGGCGTCCAAAAAAATATCTGTGGAGATATGGACAAAGAGGGTGAAGGAATTGGTGAAAACTAAGGAACAGGGAAATCTGGCAATATCAAAGCATATGCAGATTCCTATTTGTTACTTGCGATGTGGATTAAGCGCTTTGATGGGTGAGGGACGCACAACAACGCTTTCAGGCCTTGTGTACATATTTTTACACGCTAGCCCAGGGGCAACAGAGGCACTTATGATGGCAGCAAAGAAGGCCGATGAGTGACAATGTAACATGGTGAGATATTGACAATCATGCACACATGAAACTTTGACAATGCACATAGTGTGGATATTGTGTGTGACCTTTTATTCTGATCTCTATTGCATACATCGGGAGAGGCCAACAATACAGCAACGCCTACGGTGCTTGTGATGGATGAGAAAAAAGAGCAGCATAACGTGGTGATTGACATTGACGATGTAGTTCCAGTGCAAGATACTGTCATACCCCAGATAGAAGCGCATGCCTCGGATAAGCGCCGGCACTTATAAAAGGATGACGTCGCTTATATCCGGTCCTCGATTATAAGCCCACCCCCCAAAAAAAGAAGATATATTATAAGCGCATGTTTGTTTTCTATGTGAAAACCTGTCGAAATACAGAAACGAATTTCACATTATCAGGGAAACGAACTACAATTTCGATTTCCCACACTCCGATCTCACATTTTGCGCGTCTAGTCAGCATGTGCTGTCATTCTGTCAGCATGAGCTGGCAGGGAATCACTCCCTGCCAAGTTGCGCGAGAATCAGATTCGCGACCCTATATGTTTCCGACTCGACTACGATAGGAAGAACGAGATCTACAGTGTGGTGAATAACAAACAGAAATTCTTTTTGCCATTTTATAAGCGCTGTAGCATATAAAATTCCTCGATTATAAGCGCACCCCCTAAAAAACAGTGTTTTTTTATACCCCCAGGGGCGCTTCTATCCGGGGTATGATGGTAAACATGTCCATGTGGAGGTCAATCTTGAGATAAGAAGAGGGAGTGGGCCGTGCAATGCCACATAGGGCAAAGAGGACGTCACACACATGCATGGTAAGTGGATTAATACGTGACATTCTTAAGAAAAACGTACACACATGAAATGAAAAGTCTAATATAGGCATTACCCTAAACCCCTAATCTATCGCATCATAGCCCATCTCTTTTGGCTTATCACCTTCATATCCCGCTTTACCATTCTATAACTGACTATACACCCCACATTTCCCACTCATTAAGAACTTGCACGATCATGCAATTTAGTGAGTTTGCTTTCTTGTTGTAGCAATGCATCGTCTTATTTCAAATGGCCGCAACGTTCGCCGTGGCTTGCTGAAATGGGCGTGAGGTGAACATGTCAAACATTATATATGTTGTGTTTGTTTAGGCTACAGTGGGTTAGCCTATAGGGGGTACACAATTCTAGGGTTAGGTACTTGTACTGATTTCACTGTTAGTTCAATCATTCCTGTCCGTTCATTCCGACATGGTATCAGAGCAGGTCCTTCACTAGGACCGTTTTAGGGCCCACCGCTACCTACCTACCTACCTACCGTGCGCCCTCGTGCGCCCTCGCGCCCTCGTGCGCCTCTTACTACCGCGCGCCCTCGTGCGCCCTCGCGCCCTCGTGCGCTCTTGCGCCCTCGTGCGCCTCTCCCTACCGCGCACGCACGGCCTGCTAGCCACCCGCGCGCGGCCCGCTTTCCGCGGCGTCGTCGCCAGCCCGCGGCGTCGTCGCCTGCCCGCGGCGTCGTCGCCTGCCCGCGACGTCGTCGCCTGCCCGCGGCGTCGTCGCCTGCCCTCGTCGCGTCGACCTGCCCGCGGCGTCGCCACCTGCCCGCCGCGTCGCCCTGCCCGCGGCGTCGCCACCTGCCCGCCGCGTCGACCTGCCCGCGGCGTCGCCACCTGCCCGCCGCGTCGACCTGCCCGCGGCGTCGCCACCTGCCCGCCGCGTCGCCCTGCTCGCGGCGTCGCCACCTACCCGCCGCGTCGCCCTGCCCGCGGCGTCGCCACCTGCCCGCCGCGTCGCCCTGACCTAATCCGCCTCTCGCCCCTGGAGCAGCCGCCACTGCAGCAGCAGCCCCTGGAGCAGCCGCCACTGCAGCAGCAGCCCCTGGAGCCGCCCGCCACTGCAGTAGCAGCCCCTGGAGCCGCCCGCCACTGCAGCAGCCCCCCCTGGAGCAGCCCGCACCTGCAGCAGCCGCCCCTGGCCCCTGGAGCCGCCGCCACTGCAGCAGCCGCCCCTGGCACCTGGAGCAGCTGCCGTCGCGGCCCGGCCTCGCCCTGCAGCAGCTGCCGCGGAGCTCCCTGCTGCGGCCCGGCCCAGCCCTGCAGTTGTAGCGGCCCCGCTGTCGCCACCGTCTTGCGCCTGCCGCGCCGACCACTGGTGAGCATTGCCCAGCACTGCTACCGCTGCTACTGCTGCTACTGCCTTTTCTACTCCCACTGCCACAGCTCCTGCTGTTACTACTGTTGCTGCCGCTACTGCTACTACTGCTGCTCCTGGCGTGGCCAGATGCAGCTCCAGGGCCGTGCGCGTGAGTCCCTCACGCCCCAGCAGCTTCGTGCGCGTGAGTGGTACGCTAGTTGGGGCTGTCGGGGTGGCCGTAGTGGTGGTCGCTCTGGAGTGGGTCGGTCGGGAGCTTCTGGTAGTGGACAGGTGCAGCTGCCGTGCCCTCCTTCGCCCCAGCTGCTTCGTGCGCGTGCGTGGTACGCTAGTTGGGGCTGTCGGGGTGGCCGTCGTGGTCGTCGCTCTGGAGTGCGTTGTTCGGGAGCATCTGGTAGTGGACAGGTGCAGCAGCAGTGTCCTCTTACGCTCCAGCGGGCCCGTGAGTGGTACGCCAGTTTGGGCTGTCGGGGTGGCCGTAGTGGTAGTCGCTCTGGCGTGCGTTGTTCGGGAGCATCTGGTAGTGGACAGGTGCAGCAGCAGTGTCCTCTTACGCTCCAGCGGGCTCGTGAGTGGTACGCGAGTTTGGGCTCTCGGGGTGGTGGTCGTGGTAGTCACTCTGGAGTGCGTCGTTCGGGAGCTTCTGGGCGCGGACCGGTGCAGCTGCCGTGTAGTGTGAGTGAGGCTGCCGCTCTAGGTGCTAGTGAGACCGCCACTGCAGGTGCTCGCGTGTCTGCCACCTCAGGTGATGGTGAGGCTGCTGCTCTAGGTGCTAGTGCGTCCGTGCCCGCTGGTACTGAGTCGACTGC